TTTCACGAAGCTTTCTATTTCTTTTTCGAGAAGCTTTTTCTGATATATTGTTTGTGTGGACTGTTTGTCCAAAAAGCTTTTTTTTAAAGATTTTTTTTCTTCCCCTCTCCCTTCACCCTAAGCGGCCAAAAGTGAAAATCCCTTTCGTATTTGTTTCCTACGTAAAGCGGAGGTACTCGATAGTAAAACACTGCCAACAAAATCCACTTACTGACAGGACTGCCAATGACTCACTTCTTCGGAGTTACTTTGAAAGAAACTAATGATGGCCATGTTTTCCAAAAGGCAAATACAAAAGTAATTCAGGCAACAGTACTTTCAGCGATATAATAATATATTGACATGCATCCCAGTGCAACTCGGACAGCCTGGCATAGTTGCGTCCGATTTGTAGGAGCATATCAATAACATCATTAACACGAAATACCCAAGCTGACAGTCCGGGTGTGTTCTTAGCATTTTGGTGTAATTCAATATAGTTGTATAAAAGATTTCGCCAGTGATCTTTTTTTTATCAAGATTTTTTTTTATTTTTTTTTTTTTTTTACCACTTATGCCTTTTTCTGGGCCATTTTCGAACGCCTTTGCTCCTTGCACAGACCGGAAGATGCATAGTCTCTGAGTTTTAAATAATTCGGAACAGAATGCACCTTTAAGAGAAATGATGAAAAAGTAAGAGATGAGCAACCAGCAAAGCGACATAACTGTGAAATGAGTTTCTTGTCAAAACAGCTCTACTTATATCAGTTAAATTTTACGATTATTATTATTTGACATGCAAATTATTGACCAGGTGGTCATATTATTTTGCATATTATTTTTTGCATGAAATGTATATTATTATTTAATGAACACTTGTTTTGCCTCAGGCTGCAACGAGGCTTGCCGGTGTGATCGTGTGTTTTTTCACTAAACTGGCAGATCGTTAACAGCAGGAATAGTTCCTGCGCTATGTTTTAACACGTTGACTGTGTATGTTCCTCGTGCAAGGGAAGAGGTATTGGCTGGGGCGAAAGTGTTGTATCACGGAGCTACATAACCCTCCAACATGCGTGATTACCAATTCTGGATGAAGCCTGTCGGAAGAGGATTATGAAATCCGCAAGATGCATTTACTTTTGAATTTGCAACAAGATTCAGTACTTTTCATGTTCGCATGAAAAGCGAATTTCATAGCCACGAGCGAATATAGATTATTCATGCAGTGTTGCAGCTTCGCAGCTTGTCTGATAAACGAAATAGCTGCTTAAGTACAAATATTTTTGAAGTGTCCTAAGTTATGGCACAAATGCAAATCGAAACTTAGTTTAGGTATACGATTTTCGACATGGTCGATCAATATTTTGACAGAATTTCAGCCACTATTTCCGGCTAGTTTTTAGTTGGTACAGCACCAACTGCAAGCTGACGTAACGGTACATATCGTATATGCGTGTGTGGTAGCGGAATGAAATCTTTGACTCACACATGCACAAATAATATTCCTCCAAAGTTCCAGCTTTCTATCGTTTTCCGCCTAAGAAATCCTCACATTTTTTTCCCGAGGACCTTAAGCGAGATCTAGGCGCGTATGAGCGTTAATTTTAAAAAAGGAGGGTAACACATGAGGTGGAATTATGTCTAGACAGGGTCGGAAGTGTGTGACAACTTTCATTTGCTTCCAAAAACACACACGACCTCTCCAAAAATGCGTTCTTGCTCACTATATTAGTGCTATAGTACTACACATCAAAATTGCATAACAAGGAACCAAAATAGAGGAAAACAGAAAAACTGCTAGTTGCACCAATGGAGAAAATAAACGCGGTAATAAAACAACACATTATCAAAATATCAACGCACTTATCCAAACTGTTTCCGAATATGCAAATGTGATACTCACAAACAATGATTTATCCCTCTGTGGACAGAGAACAGCGATGTCCCAGATGAGATGCTGATATTCCATACACATTAGTGGCATCGTGAAACCTCTAAAATCTTGCTAAACGCCCCTGTTAAGAGTGACTTTTAGCCGGGAAATCTCTTAAGAAAGGGAAACGGACGTCGGGTTCCCAGCAGTTGGATCGCTAGACAATGCAACATTGCAAAGGTGCCAGCTGCATGGCTGAACAATCACGCCATGAAAGTGGCTGACAAAATACGAATATGTAAATTTTGTTGTGTGCATACGTTCACTTAATCAATTTTTTTGCATCATGCGAATTAATGCGTTCCACAAAAGTATGTAAATGTTTGATGCTATATTAAGATGCAGTTGTGAGAAGAGAGCAGTATTTTGATATGGTGGATGAGCGGCCGGTCAAACGTGCAAGCAGATCTTCACGTCGTGGGAGGTAATGAATTTTTAGGCTTTATCTGATATTCCAAATATAAAAAGGCCGATTTGCTTTGAGCTAACAAGTAGTTTAAAACCATGCAAGTGGTTTGTAAGGAATCAAATGCCCAAGTCTTTGCGGTGTACTTGTTCTTTAACAACTGGGTCTGAAAATGCATTTTGTTTCATTGAAGTGGAATTTTTGAACGAACAGTTTGGGAGTTCAGAATTTTTTACCGGAGTAGCCGTATGGCTTCAACCTTTCGAAAAGCTATAAATCTAATGATTGAATGCACGACTCATGCTTCACGCGTCTTGGTTTTACCTTTACTTGTTAAGACACAGAAAGAGCTCCGCCTGGTGTACTAGAGTATCCCAATAACATCACTAACATCGGATTTCCACTTTCACTCGCCGAACGGTCTTCGTAATTTCATGAAAGTTTGTTGTAGTGAAGCCACATAAGTTGATTTTAATTTGTAGAGTGCAGTACAATTCCTCAAAACTGCACCAGTATCAAGATACTTAAATATTTCCATTGATCAGCTGCAGTCTATAGCGCCTTCTTGCAATTATGCAGCAAGCAACTTTTACAGCTGTTTTGGGGGTTATTGCATCGCCTGGTGCTCAGCCCAGTGATGATCCTGACGTTTGTTCTGCCTCATAATTTCTTTTTGATTCCACAGACTGTAAGATATAATCTCAAAACGCTGAATCTGTTAACACTGCAGCCACAGCTAAAACAATCCAAACAAAATTTAGGGCAAAGCTAACAAGTGCAGTGAGGGAATTTGAGCTATTTGGACGATTAAAGCCAAAAGTGGCAAGCTTATTTGCTTATTGTAAGAAGGAAATGTGTCGTAACGAGAATGGCCGATGCTTTCGCATGTTTATATGCGCTGTTAATTTTTAAAGTATTTAACACAACCAAAAAAAGCTTTGCTTGAAATTGGGCACAAAATGTAAACTCTACCGGGATCTCCAGTAGGCTGACCGACAAACGATGTAGCACTGGTCAATGCAAATGAAAGGCTATCAGCTGCATAGTTAGAGTACCAGACTAGGAATTACAGCTGGCCAAAGTACTAGCATAAAATATCCAAAACCTAAGAGCAAGCTTATCACCGTTTTGTGGCGACGTAATCTCGATAAAACTGATAAAATACGACTTGCTTAGGTAAACATAGGCTTAATGGGCAATTATAAACGTTCTTCCCAGTTACCTCCTCGCCACTGGCCCATCAGGAAAGTTGAACTTAGCGTGGAAAGATTCGTTAGTTCTCTCGCTGAAAAGTTCAGGAAAAGTGACCGGTATTCTTGGATGATCACAGATCACCTCTTCGAAAACATGCATTTTCAAAATGAAATACAAATCAAATTTCGCAAACAGCGTTGAATTTTGGTGTAATAACTAGCTGCCGGCATCAAAACTACCATGAACGGAGCTTTTTTGTATATAGATATAGTCCGAGAAAGAACCAAACTCCTTGCCTCCATTATTTTCGAATGTGTTTACCATTGCGTCATCAGTTTTTGTGTTGGGAGTATATAAAATTATGTGAGGCTCCGCATAAATTATGCAACGTCTGGTTACTGCTTTCACAAGCAGCGTACACCTTTCCAATTTTTGCCGGTTTTTTCGTTATTTTCTACAGGACGGACAGCATTTTTTTGTCTAGTGGGAGCTACAATAATTGCATTACTATTCAGTGAAGCATTTGCTGTAGTTTGTGATGAAAAAGAAAAAACCGCTTCTCGGTTACAGATAGTGCTATCGATGCTAAAGCAACTTATTTCCCCACTTAAGTTAACTTGTTTTACTGCTTTGCTTATCAGCTAAATTAGATAAATTTTAACTTTCAAATGATGAAATTGCCATTTTTTGTTTCTATGCGTCGCATCATGGAACGATCTGATTTAGCCATCTCTAGCAATATTTTCTCCATTTGTAGCTAAATTTTACATCCATTTCGTTAAATTCGACAAAAAACAGGGATTCTTCCGCCCTAGCTTCCTCATTCAACGAAACACATCCTACGGCAGTACACTACAGTTACCTTTTGCAGACAAAATGCATGAGTGATACAAATGCAGAAATAATGTTCCGTGCATTCTACATCAATAGAATATTCACAAATTTATCCGAATTCTACGTGCTCTGGGCTAGTCACTGCAGTGGCAAGCACAGCCGGGTGCGTGCCATCCTGATCAAAGCACAACGTCTGGATCCTAAGCCGAGAAGAACAATCACAATGCGGAAAAGGTGGTGCACAGTGACGTAGCAAAGGTAGTGAGGACAATAGAGGAAGAGGACAAGTGTGGGACGAAAGAAAATAAACTGTTGCACTAATTTCTTTGATTATTCAAAGTAACTGGGTCCGGACACCTTCACCCTTTAACAGGGCAATTTTTGGCTCCAAAAAAGCCAAAACTCTCATCACATTCGCCCCATGTGAGAGGCGTAGGCACTCGGAAGTGGCCCAATAAGCTAAGACGTGTCAGTAGCAGTTGACCGTTGACAAGGCTGTCAGTGGCCTCACTTTTAAAGCAAGTAATTTCATAAATGAAATCGCCAGGAAATCGTAATAGAAAAGGACTGACATTCTGCCAACAACTAATAGCTAATGCCTGGTTTATATGGGTTGTCAACTAGTCGAGAAGAATGCCCAATTCAGAGCCTATTAGACACTGGTTTTGAGTATGGCATTATATTTCTAGACAGTTTGCTATAGAAGAGGAGAAATTAATACTGAAAGAGAGCGATGCCGACAGTAGCAATGAAGTAGCGAAAAAGGCTGCATCAGATCCCTGGGATGAGCACTGGCAGGCGAAATTGATGCTCGACATGGAAGCACCGCAGTTCGTAAAAAACTATGATGTTGGTTTTTTTAGTTCTTGTTATTTCTCGAAATTACCGAGTAAAGCCTTTCCAGATGTGATTTGGAAATGCTTCTTTGTATGCAACATTGCCTGGTCTCAGAGGTACGGAGCAATTTTGTTAAGACTGCAAGCAGCGGCTCACCAGGAACAGCTTTTAATCCGTAGCCCAGATCACCTAGCAGCTGTTTTGTCCAAGCTAATATCGCCCGGTGGTCAGTGCGCTGACGATCCGATAGCTCGTTCCACCTCCTGTAAGGGATTACCAGCACAAACAGGACAGGACTACTTGGCGAGGTCTTAGCTTTTCAAGAGGTCCTTAGTGAATGTTGAGCAACTACGACTGAAGAAAGAGCACCTTCCTAGCTAAACACTGATATGAATTTTTATTGGAAAACATTTTTTGAAAATTTTGCAGAGTTTTATTTGAAGACTTTTTTTGAAAAACAGTTTTTGCAATTTGCATAGGCAAAGTTTTATTCGTTTTAATGTGGTGCTGCCCGAGTAACTGTTTACTTTTTTGCGATATTTGTCCCTAAAAAACGTCCATACCTTTTACTACAAATAATTGTCTACTTGTCCATGGAATGTTGGAGCTAGAGACGCTGTTTCTTTTCCTGCGTTGCGTTAACGATGTTTGGAAGAGCAGACTCTGCAACGGCTACAAACAGCTTCATTGGCTTGTAAATCTTTCCGATGGACTGTGGCGGATTTTAATGTTTCGAAAGTTTGAAAAGGATTTTGAAATTAATTACCAATTTTCAGGCGAAATCTTGTGCCGGAAAATCGTAATTAATTGCTTTATTTCTAATTAGATTTTAACATTCTTGCAGAAGAAAATGCCGCCATTCAATTACATTTTTCGGAACCTGTCACTCCCAAAAAAAATATCAGAGAACTGCTGCATTTATACATGTTCCTTTATAGGCATCCCTAATCGCCAATTCATTATAAAGGTAACCAGTTTCCTCCAAATCGATTTTTTCCCCTTTTTTCTCATTTTTTCAGAGTGAGTTGGATGCATACCACTTTCCTCAACAGCACTAAAGTTTCAATTCATGTATGCTCAAAGAATTTATCCAACAAATTCCAACTTTTTGTTTCTCGCAATTCAGGAAGTTTAAAGCTTGTAATTACATTAATACTCGCGTGCACACGCATACACACACAAACAAACACAAATACACAAACATACATGTGTTCAAAGGCAATTACATTTATACAAGCAAACAGAAACAGACAGACAGACAGACAAGCACACACACACACACATGCACACACGGACACATACATACAGATTCACACGCATTCACAACAGGCCCGATATAAATGCCTTTTTGTATTTTAATTTAGCGGGGAAACCCATAAAATGAGGAAGGTCGGAGCATTAAAAATTTTCATTTTTTGAGGGGTTCTCCTCGAGATTTATGACTGTTTACTCTGCTATGCTTTCTTCTAGCGCGCATCAAATCATGTGATCCGTTGGGAAGCATACGTGTACAATTATGTCAAAGAGAAATTAGACCGTATATCTGGCACTGCTCAAATTTACAGTTGCCTTACATTCGTCGACAGAGGCCTAATTGTGCGGGAAAAAGCTTTCGGAACTTTGCGCGTAAGAACTTTATGGTTATCACAATAAGTCTTTTCTGTTGTTACGATCGAATTCAAACGAAACGTTGATACACTCGGCTTTGCTTTCCAGGACTGCATGCCTTCAGTTGTGATGCGTAGTCTGCAATACTTTTTCAGAAAAATTTATTTATTACTTCCTCTCTGATACTTTAATAACCTGCAATTTCTGGTGCGGCTAACAACTTTTCCAGTTGCTTTGACAGGTGTACAGTATCGCCAAGTGGTCAGCTCCTTTTGTCACTTGAAGAGAATACGAGCTCTGTGGTCTTGAGGCAGCGGCAGTTTTGGCAGGGCTTCAGTCGTTTCTGATACAGATAAATAATTCTTACAAAAAATGGTGCCAGAAAATAGAATTTGTTTAAAATTAATAATTTCCTCTTGCAGAAATTTTCAGCCCAGGCATCTCTTCATGATATGGGAGTACTAACAGGGCAGGTGGTAGCAAGGCAGAGCGAAATATAAACTCTGGCAGTTCCAAGCATGTCGAAAAGACATTCTGTTATATTTCGTCTGGTCGAGTTTATGTCAGCCTGACCGGTGACTACTGATACGTAAGAATCAAGTAGCTGTACAGCAAAAGCATTATGACTACTGCATATGGCAGATATATTGCAAATATTTTTTTTTGAAATAATTTTTAAGTTGAAAGAAGGAATTTTGTGATTCGGCGTGTTTTTTAAGGAAATATGCAATGCAAAAGTACCGGAAATTGTTGTTGCAGTAATCGCACTTGATTTGATGAAAATATTGCGCTGCATACACGGAATGAATGTTATTCATGCGTGCTTTTCTACGGATCACATTTTAATTGCTAGCAAGTAAGCACAGTGTATTTCCATTCAAAAAAATTTTTTCCATACAATCAGGCACGCATCCGGCGATGCAAAAACAATTTTTACCATTTGCTTTTGACTGATGGCACCTCAACTATCCGCCCTCATAACTTGTTAGCAATAGTTTGCGCAGTACCATTGGAGAAAGTGGCCAAAAAAACTAGCACTTTGAAGTAAAGTGAATTCCTGTACTGCTTTCGTCGACTTGCAGCAGCTCATTGTAAAATGCATGACTGCGTCGGTCCTAGAGTATATCGCTCCATTTGTTTTAATTCGTGCAAAGCAAATAAAAATGAAAGACAGTTGTTTTTGCTCCACTGTTCTTGTGCTAGTGTCTTGCAAATTTTAAGCCCAGCGGCTTCATATATTTCCAAGCGAGTTTCTGTGATATTCAGTCATTTATGGCGTAAAATTGCTTAGCAGTATGTATAAAGCGCCTGACAGAAGGCGAGGAGCAAGGAAAGCAAGTAAGAACGCATGAATTGCTGGTTACATTCAAGGAAAGGAACACATGAATTGCAGAATCAATGAGATGCCAAAACTGGAATCGCTGCGTGGCAAGCGCACAATCCTTGTGAAACTAGCAGACTGGAATTTTGCTATACGAGATACTGATAAGAGACAATTCTGTGGGCGAATCAACGATAATAAAGTTATTACCGATGGGGAATGCGTAAGCAGAATTGCACCAGATTAGCATTCCTAAAAATTTTACACGTAAATTTCATATCAGACGGGTGAATAGTCCTGGATGAATATTCTTAGCAGTAGCTGAAGAGATGAGGGAATGCTAAAACCTGGAATATTTTGGGATGGAAACAAAAAAGCTGGATTTCTGAGTACAGAAAACATCCTTTCATTTCAGACCCTCCCTCCACCTTCCCTTTCCGATGGCCCGCCTCCCAGTCCTCTCCCCTGTATCCCTTTCACCTCTCTTCCTTAACCAGGTTGATCAGCATTAATTCTTTTGGCAGTCGAGTAATCGAGCAAACACGCAGCAGAATGGGCGGATGGAGAGAATGCGCCCAATGTAGCTATTTCTTAGAGAAACATACATAAAGAAAAGCACAAGCGTTTCCTACAACCACAGCATAAAGTAACCAAATAGTGTTTAGCCAGAAACTCGGTAAGAACATTCATTTAGCCGCAGTCAAAAGTTCTTTTTCCCTTTCCACAATAACCAGAGGAAATAGGGATGATTCCCCCTTTCATGATTTGCATGAAAGCAAGCTGGTGGGGTTCGACTTTTTGGTATATGACAGTACCAATTACCATCGAAACGAATGAGTGAATTGTAGAGGGAATGGTTGTTCCAGACTAACAACAAAAGGTACTGAAAATGAAGCGCCTGAAAAATACAAAGATCAGCATAGCTAAGCGGCATCTTTGTTTCAGGATCGCAAAGCCTGGAACTATGAGATTGATAAACTAGGATTCCTGAATGTAATCAATCAGCTGCTCTTTGGCCAAGCAGTACGCTACCGGAAATGCAAGAATGGAGAATATGTTCCAGTGCACGAATTCAAAAAGTAACTTGCCAGCAATTTAGCAGCTTATTCAAGCCCAGTGGCTATTTGCGTAACCAAGAAAGAGAAATGCGCTTCTTCCATTCGTTTCTAAATCGCTTCTTTTAAAAAGAAAGCTTACTAGTAGAGCGATTGGTTTTGTGCCGAAATATACAATAAGTTGATGATGATTATATATATACATACATACATA